CTGCTGTCATTCATAAACAGGACTCAGGAACATGATTTCATCACAAGACAAACCCGGAATGACAGCCGTGCTGAGCAGACACAGAGACAACAGCAGCCACTCGTGCCCTCGTTAAACCCCGCCCCCACACAGCCTGCCCCGTCCCCAAACACATGCTGTCTTGTGATTGGTGCCCTTGATGCCCGGGTGCAAGAAGCTCATGCAGGAGCAGGAAGTTAACTATTCTTTTGAACGCACGCTGTCACTGTAGAACCTACTGCTGTATGCATGAGAAAACATGTTTATCGATTCCTTGTAGTGTAACGATGTACAAATGTTTTAAGGTCTTTCACTCAAGGGTGCCGCATGTATTGAAGGACAGCTTTGTAGGCTGGTAAGATTCAATCCCATGTCCACTTCACCAGAACATCATCCGGTCCCGTTCATACAGTCATATCTTCTCAGAGAATTTTGTACATATGTCATATAATTCAGAGTGAAATGTGAGAGTGTAGTATTTGATCGGTTTTGACGTTTGTTGTGGAGAGCGTGGTGGAACTTTTTTTCTGCTTTAAAGTGTCTGTCCTGTGATCGTCTCCCTGAATTTACAGAATTAGTTTCAAGCCTAGCGCACGCTACACAGAAGCACCATTTCATGAATTATGCGTCAGATCGTAGCAGTGCATCGCAAACAACGATAATTTTGTAATGAGCACATTTCTGCGTCAGATTGAGTAAAGATGCTAAGATCAATTATAAAGTCGCGACTGAAGTGACAATAGCCACAGACATTTTTTTCCTACATTGTGATGTAACCAATTATAGAAAAAAAAAAGGACAGGGACTTGATTCTATTTGTTGGTAGCTGATTGGATGGAGGCAGATCTGAATGTAGAGCCAATGGGCGGAGCATGGCATCTGGCTCCCCCTCTCTGGATGTAATGGGTGGAGATTTAAAGTCCAACCACTCCCTAACCATAACCCTATCTAAACACTAGGTCAAGCTCCACCCATTAGGTCCAGAGAGGTGGAGCTGGATTAGGTCAAGCTCCACCCATTTGACTCTTTTGGCAATTGTGAGAAAAGGGCGGAGTTTAAGTGAACTAAATGATGGAAGTCCAACATACATCACCCTAGAGAAGTCTCGTTTTTAATGCTTTTTCTGTTACAGAATTAAAAAATTGAAAAGGTAATTTTAACTTTTTATCTACAATCTTGACTTTTTAGTTTTTTTTTCTCAGAATTGTGATAAACTTTGAATTCTGGCTTGTTTTCTCGTAATTCTAAGTTTATATCTTGCAATCCCGTGTTTATATCTTACAAGTGACTTTTTCTCAGAACTGTGATAAAGTCAGAATTGTGCTAAAAGGTTGCAATTAGCCTACTTTTGTTTTACATTTTGTTTTTGTTTTAGTTGCAATTTTACTTTTTTCTTGATCTTGAGGTCAAAAAATGAAATATGCTTGGACAAATATTTCACATGAAGATAAGATTTTTTGTTTGTTTTGTGTCGTTTCATGTTTCATGACGACTTCAGAACTCTGTGCTAGTGTCTGTGTACGTTAACTGATACACATAGTCGATTAGTTGTAAAGTGCTACTATCGTAACGTGCAGGAGGCCTTCGTTCTCTGTTGGTGTTTCTAAAGAGTTTTTCCCTCATGCTCGCAGCCGAATGTAATTCTTTCATTTCCTTATCATCATCATCTCACGTTATTTATAATTCTCTCATAAGCGTAAGGAATGTGATTCTAGCTGATTGTTTCGAGTACTTGGGTTTTTGTGATACATGCTGCATTCATGAAAACAACAAGAACAGATTTGTGTATCTTGTGTATCTCTCCACCTTATTTTTAGCGGCAATATTTAGCCAGAACGAATGTGCGAGGTTTCCGGTGTGTCAACCCCTTCCAGTAATTTGAACTAAACAACAGTTCGTTGCATTTTGTTATTCTTCTGCGGCTAATGAATCAGAAGTCTGGCACATTCACAAAAAATAGCTTACCTCTGCATTGATTTTTTTTTTTTCTTCCAGATTTAAATGTTTAATGTATTTTTCAGTTGAAAAATAAGGCGGATAAAATGAACACGAACGGTAAGAATTGATATGGATTTCAGAATCACAGAGGGAATAATAGCGGTCATGGTTTACGCGAGAGACTAAAACCCTGGAGATGTGTGAATGTAATACTAAACATATTTCCTTGATAAATTATGAGGTTTAGGAGGGGAATACATAACGTTTTTTAAGCACATTCTCCCTGAATAACATGTACTGTATGTAGACTTGCTGTTATGAACCCATAATCACAGTTTTCTGATTTTGGTAGACAGCATGACACTCTTCACGCTACAGTTTCCCTCAATCTATCCGGCCTTGATAGATTGCCTACTTCTGGTCAGTATTGTATTAGTAATGGCAGTTTTCATCTGTACATAGTCTGCTGTGCGTTTGACCTGTCAGCACTGATTTTTGCACTCTGCCTGTAATCCACGAATACCGTCCCGTAACATCGCCATGATGCATATGAGGTATTTTTAAGGTAACTTTGTAAAGACTTTCCCTCCTCCCCAGTATTACTACTTGTACATATTTAACCCCAACGACAATTAAGTGCTTTAGAATGATTAATACCGCAATAGGTTTTTGTGCAAACGGAGGTTTTTATTTCATTAACAGGTCGCCTTTGTACATCACGTGGGACACTTGCCCCGTTTCTGTGTTTGTATTTGCAGTTTAAACACATCAGGAGACCGAACTCACACCAAGAACATGAACGTTAACTCCGTATAGTTTCTTTTCGTTTATAAAAACTGACCATCTGAAGCAATACTCTCTGCTCACTGTGACCCTGACCTGTCCGAAACAAATGCGCACTTGTACTGGAATAAACAAGTCTGATGCCGGTCATATTAATCGATTCATCGGGCATCTAAGCACATTGATCACTGATTGAAGGACACAACCAAAATACCTATGAATGTATTTAAGAAATTCATATTTTCACACACAGCCATGCTAGGGCTGCACAATTAATCGAATTTCTAATCGCGATTACAATTATGTAATTACACAATTACGTAATCGTTCAAAGCGGCAATTAATCGTTCAAAGTCCACTTACGTTATTCTGTGTGCTTAAGATGCGTTTTCTTCTTTCTACATGTTATCTTAAGGGTTTTTCCATTGTTTTAGTTTTAGTATAACATTATAGTACCATTCATATTTTATTTTTTTTTATAATTTAAAGAAGAAACCAATCCGATGTATATTTGACATCTGAGGCTTAATACTATAGAAAAGCACTAAAGGTTTTTCCAGTTAGAATGTTTTCAGCTTGTTTGTTTTCATATAAAAATACGGCATGCAGTTGCATCAAACAATGGTATAAACATCATTCAATGTAAATTGTGATCATCTTAATTACTAATCGCAATTACAGTTTCAAGGGAATAATCGACAGTTATGATTTGTAATAATCGTGCAGCCCTAAGCCATGCCCACATTGAGAGCTATGGAAGCCCATTTTCGCCACAGGATAGATAATAAAAGTAATTGCCTTTTCTCACAAAAAAAAAAGTAAAAGAAAAAATCTTTGAAAAAGTTAACCCCCCCACACAATTCTGAGTTATTTCACGGAATTCATACTTTTTTTTTCTCAAAATTGTGAGGAAAAATTTAGAATTGCGCGATATAAACGCAGAATTCTGACTTTCTTGCAATAAAGCTCACATGTTAACATGCATTTTTTCCGCGATACAGAATAAAAATACAAATCCTCTCTGAATTGTGAGGAAAAAATAAAGCTAATTGCTGCTGTTTATCTACGAATTCTCGCAATTTTTTATTTTTGGAAAAAAAGTTTATCTTACCATTCTGGGGTTTTTTTTAACCCAGAATTGCAAGAAAAAGAATTGTGAGAATTTTTATGTTTGTTTATTTTTATTCTATGGTGGAAACAAGCTTCTATAGCAATTTAACTCTCTCTCACACACACACACACACACACACACAAACTGAAATTCAGGACAGCGTTAACCGGAAGTGATTTTTTTTTTTTTTGCAGCTGCAATTTCATCTTTTTCATGCCTTATGCGCAGTCAGCCACTGTCACACTCTCTGTTGTTTCTCTTGTGTTCGCATCTGACCGTGTACACAGTGTTGGTATTCATCAATTCTTCATGGCTGTTTTTGTTCATTGTGTGCTGTACATAGACTGACAATTAAAATGATAAATGCTAATTTTTTTTTCATACAGTATCCATTCAGTATTGTAATATATTTAAGATAAAAGTAAAACTTTCATTCAAATCTTGTCTCGTGTGTTGTGTGCAAAGAAGTTGTCCTGTACAGGTTCAGAATAATTCTCACTCTAAATTCTGATTGGATGAGCCACAGCGTAGTTAAACCAATGAACCACATCCACAAAAAATGTTTTATCTTATTGCTGTTGCCACCATTTTATAAAAGCAATAAATCTTGAGAGGTTGTGAGTTAGAGATTAATTCTTCAAAAGTGTGTAAATGTCCTAAAAAGTTGTATCAAAACATACACATATGGCATTTATTACGCCAGCAGACAGACATCAGGTCAGCAACAGCTACACAAGATGATCATGTTTTAAAATTGAAATGTTAAAAATGCTAATTTCATTATGCTTTAAGAGAAAGACAAATTATATCAAATATGATTTGACATTATCACAGGCACATTTACAGTACGGTCCTGAATTCATCGAAAACGAAACTTGGCACATGAGCCTCTGCCACCTGAAAACAAAAATGATTTCTAATTTTATGTAGTAAAATAATTGTGTATTTAAAAAAAAAAAAAATGCCAAACCTCATAGCAATATATCCTACCTTTCTGGGCAGTTTAGTGTAACGCACATAGTCCTCCAGAAACATTAATGCTCCGACTACATCTGAAGGCATATCTGGAATCTTCTGACTGTGAGGAACAGACACACAGTTAAACACTTCTGTCACTATCATGCAGAAAAAATATTATATCAGTTTTTTTTTTTTTTTGCATTTCTATTATTTTCATGACAATTAAGAATATTTAACACCATAATGCAATAAAAAATTCTTTACTGTAATACAAAAATAAATGTATTAGTTTATACATCAATGTAGTATTTGTTGTGCTGCCTTTGTGTAGATTATAAAAAAAAGCTTATATTACAAATCCAGTAATATATACATATTTTGTATGATTTTACTCTATATACTTATATTTATTCTCTCTATATATTCATATTTATTATATTTTGTATTATTTTACTCTATATAACTTGCTTAGTTTTTATGTTATATATATTTTTACACCACAATGCAAAACAATTTATTTTATAATAATTTTAATTAGTCTTTAGTTAATTCATTAATATTTTAATTGTAAAGCTTATCTACACAGCAATGTAGTACTTGTTGTACAGCCTTTATGCAGATAAAACTATGATTTTATAAATATTATAATTTAACACTATATTTTATAAATATTATATACTTTTTATAATTTCACACTATATATATTTTTTATTCCAGAACTTTAAAAAATTTAAATACTTTTCTTAAAGTCCTAAAATAGTCATTTTTTCCTCCACGTTCTTGTTCCTCAATCATCATCACATACTGAAGTGAGGTACCTGGTGCACTGCTCCATTATGGAGCGAATAAACTGTCCGATCAGAGCCAGGAACTGTTCAGTGTATCTGGAGTGAAACTGTTTGAGCAGCGTCAGGAGACCCAGAACCAGAGGAGCCCAGTCCACCGGATCGGCAGCCTTCCTGCACGTCATGCCTGTGAAAACACCAAACACCATTCAAACCCACACGAGCAGGACCACGGGATTTTTTTAATAAATGACTACTACTTTTAATCAAGAATGTATTAAATTGATCGAAAGTGACAGTAAAGACATTTACAAACTTACAAATGTTTTTTTTTTACTTTATATTCATCAAAGAATACTGAAAACAAATCACGGTTTCCACAAAAATATTAAGCAGCAATACGGATTCAACCCTGATAATAAAAATAAATGTTTCTTGAGCAGTAAATATTAGAATGATTTCTGAAGGATCATGTGACACTGAAGACTGGAGTAATGATGCTGAAAATTCAGCTTCGCATCACAGGAATAAATTACACTTTAAAATATATTAAAATTAAAAACAGTTCTTTTAAATTGTAATAATATTTCACAATATTACAGTTCTTAGTGTATTTCCGATCAAATACACGCAGCCTCGGTGAGCAGAAGAGACGTCTTTCAAAAGCATTAAAAAAGAAGCATGTGAATGGTGGTGTAGAAAATCAGTTACAGACCTTGGCTTTTGTTGTTCTGCAGTTTTGGCAGCTGAGCGATGAGGAACAGGAAGTTCACGATGGGAAAGTAAGGCAGACGCTTCGTCGTGATGTAGATCTGAAAGGAGTGATTTGAATAAAACAACAAAACGTAGTTCATGTCAACAGACCGTGTCATAGGATGCACTAAAATTTGGGCCATTTTTTTGCAAAAAAAGACAAATCAGGCCAAAAGATTGGACAAAAACATCTAATAAAATAATCACTGATATGATGTCAAATGAAGATTTCACATACACACGACTCACTTTGTTAAGTGGGTTTTGGATTCCAGCGGCCTCCAGATACGCGGTGATCTCGTAGAGCAGAGTGTTGTCCTCTTTGGGATACGGCAGCGATGGATCCTGGTAATGAGCTTCAATATCAGACAGCAGAGACCTGGAAATGACCACACTAACCTTATAAGTCGTCTATGAGGGAGAAGGTAAAACCAACCCAAGTACTAAGAAATAAACAAGGAAGAAACATCATTCCCAACCCACTTGTTCAGATTATCCAGCGCCGCAGCGAGATGTTTCGAGTCAAATTTGCAGGAGTAGTTCAGTTCATTGGCTATCTGCTGCCTCAAGATCTGCATCTGACCCACCTGTCAAAGGATCATTGATTGATTTTGAATAGTGATGCTGAAAAAGATGAAAAACAAACATCTCAGATGAAAAGAAGGCAGCACCTTCATGATGGCTTCCAGATACGCTGGCCAGATCTTCTGAGTTTTGGCCACAGCGTTGACGTAGACTTTGCTTGCATTTGCTGAATATCAATGCAGAAACAAATATATCAAGAATATTATTGTGGGAATAAGTGTCAGATTTAAAGTAGTCTATCAAACACACCTACCCACAATCCCTTTGACAGGATTGACAGCCGACAGCAGAGCTTTAAAGATGTCAACCACAGCTTTGTCCTTCAGGATGTTCTTCTGTAGGACTGTCAGAAAATTCTGCAATGAAGAAACAAGGACAGATTATTATTATTATTATTATTATTTTTTTAAAGTGCCCCTATTATGGGTTATGAAAGGTTCATATTTTGGTTTTGGGAGTCCCCAACAACAAGTTGACATGCATGCAAGGTCAAAAAACACTTTCATTTTCTTATAATATGCATTTATTTTTACCTTACTTGCTCAACGACTCCCGAACGATTCGTTTAAAGATTCAGTTTTCCAAACCCCTCCTTTGTGTGACACTAATCTGCGGTGATTGGTCTGTTTGGTCTCATTTTCATTTCATCTTGCCTGTAATGCCTGATAAAGCAGCGTTTGTGAGCGCAGTGGTGCTTTGTGTACAGCATTACCGGGGAAACCGCTATTTTTACCACTCCAAAAGCACCACCTTGTGGCAAAGAATGAATTAGCATTTTCCTTCAAACCAATGCAAAAAGACCAACAAGTGGGCGGGCAATATGCTAATGTTTCATGTTGACCTCAACATGAAACGGCTTGGGATTCGTTTTAAAAACGACTCGTTTTAATGATTCAGAGTCGACTCTTTCTTTTGAGAGACAATAACTTTATACACGGTGCACTTTCAGATTTAAAACTTTGCAGGATGTTTTCATTCACTTAGAGCTGTGTTACACACTGCATGAAAGGTCATCAAAAATCCATAATAGGGGCACTTTAATAATTAATCATGAATGTTTCCATACAATTACAGTTGTTGATTCAGTTCTTCGCTAAATCATGCAATATACCTGAAATCTTTTATGCAATTCAACTTGATTTGATTCTTTTGTTACAGTTTATAATTGATTGAATTTATTAATATTATTATTAATACTAATATACTAATAATAATTCTACTTCTAATTGTACCATTGTTGTTGTTGTTATTATTATTAAGCATTTTTTATTTTTATTTTATTTATCATTTACGTGACATTTATTCAGTTCTTTACTAAATTATGCAATATATCTGAAATTCTGATGCAGTTTGATTTGATCCTTTCGATAGTTTTAATTTATTATTATTGTTTTATTATTATTAAAACTAACATACTAATAATACTACAACTAACTGTATTATTATTAATAACCATTTTTTATTTTATTTATCATTTACGTGACATTCATTGTGAAGAGGAGGGTGTAAATATTTAATAAATATAATATTTTAATTTTGATCCAACTGATTTTTTTTTATAAAATTGTGATTCTTACAATTCTTTACTGAATTATGCAATACACCTTAAATTTTTAAGCAATTTGACTTGATTTGACTGTTTCGTTAAGGTTCTTAATTGTTTCAAAAATTCTTATCTAATAATGAATAATTCTTATATTAAGATTGACCTGCAGCTCTTTCACGATCATGAAACACAAGAGTCGGTCGAGTCCGTTCAGGCCGAAGGTGCCCAGCGTGTCCTGAATCTCCGAGAAGAGTCGGTTGTTGGTCACTTCCTGATGCGTCCTCATATCGTACCAGGTGTTCAGCTGATCAATGTAACACGTTGTTCTGAAACAAAACAAAGACAAGCAACGTGGCATTTCTCCAGACGTTTAGCGCTCGACCATCAAAGCTTTGAGAGTTTGTGACTTACTTTGGATCTGTGATCCTCAGGATTTCCCTGCAGAGACGTCCAATAAACGTGGCGGATTCATCAACTGACGGATACTTAGGAATGGGAATGTGGGTGGACTGATAGACGCTTTGCCAGTCTTGGATCTGAAAAGAACCTCTTTAAATCAACACCAGCAGTGAAATCTGAGGCTCAAATCAATAAGATACTGCAAAGACAAGACCTTGGTTCTGAGGAAACTGTTACACTCCTGCTCTACGTTGTAGTTGATGATCCGAGACACTTCCTCCTGCCAGATCTTCAGGCCGTAGATGCTCACGTAATCCTGAATGTATTCAAACGAGCGGTAAAACCCATCCATGGTGGCAGCCATTTCCTTCAGCTTTGGCATCAGTTCACTGGGCTGAAAGAGACATCAGAAATGAACTTCTAAACAAACTCTAGTGAGCCAGATAAGACAGAATATAATTTTAAGATGGTGGTTTGCTCACTTTGGCTTTGGGGTTGAAGATGAGGCCTTTGTGCAGAGCGTAAGCCACACGCTTGACAAGCTCTTTCCTGATCCCGTCCTCCAGAAGCTGCTTCGGATCCACCTGAAACAGCATCAATAATGTTTAATATTCCATAAACACCATAACAAGGTTAGTTAAAACATTTATCAAATACATTATTGTCAACATGAATATAAAAACACATTTCTTGTCTTTTTGTGAATGAAAAGAAAAATGCCTGTTTGTGATCTATAAAAATGATCAAGGTGTAACATTCAGAGAATCTGTTTTAGCACCTTGATAATGCCGACGAGTGTGGTCTTCATCATCAGAATACCTTCAGTGAAGACTGAGATGGCATGAGTGAGTTTAGCTACCTGTCAGATGAAGAAGGTCAGTGAGTTACTTTATTATTGTTATTTACACAATATGAATCTATGCAAGAACAACATGTTGACTCGAGGCCTGAATACGAAGTTTAATTTAAAATACCGAACGCAAACAGACTTGCAGATTTTGTAGAAAATTTAGCGGAGCAAGTTAGTTACATAGAGTAAAAGAATACATCTAAATATATAGAGTAAAATAAATATTATATCGAGTAAAAGAATGCAAAATATAATGCATGTAAATATATAGAGGACAAAATAAATATAAAATAAACAAATATATGGAGTAAAAGAATACAAAATATAACATATATAAATAAGTAAGATTTAGTAAGTAATAATTTGTATAAGTAAGATTTAATTAACGTTATTTGTCTGTGCCAGTCCTGTTTTTGACACATGCATTGGCAGAAAAAAATAAATAAAATAAAATTAGTCATTATAACATGTACAACATTAACATTCTTTTATTTGCAAAACGAAGTTGTGTATTTATTTATTTCTGATTTCCTGAAAAATTTGGCTTCATTGTAATGAGGTTAATGATCTTTGAAAAACCATGATTATGAACATACAATTACTTTGTCTTGAGCTGATTAGCCAACTGTGGTAGTGTTCGTTGATTGGTGTTTATATTTGTTCAAGCTTGACAACCTTATCGCCTTTATTTTCTAATATATATTTCTCATTACATTACATTATTATTATATTAATCGCGTATCTTGTCAGTGTCTGCGCTTGCTTGGCCATTTGTTGTGGAGAAAATAAGGAAAGTGTGTTGAAGCGCCAGCAGAAAACAGTGTAAAGAAATACTCTTTGAGAGAAGCAGTCTTTATCAGCGGAAGTTAAAAGCAGCTCGTAAGTGTATTTACTTGTCTCATTAGTTTGTAGTGCAGTTGTCGTTGCTAGGAAACTCTTGTTTTGTTTACTGTGTGGAGATGTGCTGATATCGCGTTTGGTCTTGTGCTGTATCGCGTATCTTGTCAGTGTCTGCGCTTGCTTGGCCATTTGTTGCGGAGAAAATAAGGAAAGTGTGTCCAACTGAATTCATCTAGTATTTTGTTAGACGGGTATAAAAAAAGCTTAGTTTACCGCAGCAGCCGTCGCATGACGGCCTCCTCGTGTGAAGACCGAAGAGTTTGAAGACCGAAGAGTGTAAAGACCGAAGAGTGTAAAGACCGAAGAGTGTAAAGACCATCGACTCTACTGTGCGACTCCACCGGCAAGGGACACCGGCAAAGGAGAAGTATCGCTTTTTATTTCTCCTCTTTCCTATTACTTGTTTCGCTTCTGTTTCAGTTTTTATAACCATTTCTTACTATGTGTAAGTAAGTTGTTGTTGTTTTAGCATGTGTGTTTGGCAGTGTTATTTTTTAGGATTACTGATAAACTACTGTAATTTGATTTGTATTATTTGTATTTATTATTTATTTAAATTTTAGTTAAATTATTTCTGAATTTATTTATGTCTGAATGTCTGTATAGGTCTTTTATTAAGTTTTTAGTTTTATTTAATTTGATTTAATTTAATACTTAATACTTCTAAATGGAAATTAAATAATATATATATTGAATTTTATATGTACATGTATATGTATATGTGTGTGGCTGTACATACACATATGTATTTTTTTTTTGGTGTTTGCCTTAGTGTTATGTTAGAATCATTATTATACTCTTATACAGTTTGTTCTTTAATATTTTGAATTGTTTTTAGCTTTATTTTTTTTATTTTTTTTAAATGTTAAGTTTTTAAATGTTGTTGTATGCATTTGTAATTTTTATTTAATCTCTTTAATCTCTTTATTTGTATAAGTAGTATTTATAAAGTTTTCGCTTTTAGTTTTGGATCTGTTTTTAGTTGTTTTAATACTACAATTGATTGCTTCTGTTGTCCTTATTTGTAAGTCGCTTTGGATAAAAGCATCTAATAAATGACTAAATAAATAAACTATCCATTATTCAACAGCACTATGTATCTGGCAAAAATACTGATAAGAAAAAAAGTCAGAATAAAATGACGTCAGAATAAAATATGAATAATTTGATAGACTAAAGGATTGCTCGTAAAGACAGCTCATGCTTTTCTTGAATACAAAGTTGGGGGGGGGGGATTATCAGGAGACAATAAAGCATAAAATGTCGGTCAAGTCACCTTTGGGGAAAATTGATGATTGCTAAACTGAGTGCCAAGAATCAGGCATTGTGACATAATCTTGGCAAGCAGGGAATTTGGATTCAGATTTATTTATATACAGGTGGGAAAATCAAAGAAGGGTTAAACCCTTGATCTTTCCAAGTACACTCCTTTTGTGTCCCTCCCAGTTTTTGAGGACAGGTGCCACACATTTCCTGATATTGTTTTGCTGTGCATCACAAATTATTAAGCATACAGTCCATTTTATGTGGCTTATGATGTATAACACTTGTAAAATACACAATAAAATGACTTGAGATCAAAGTTTAACATCATGGCGGTTGCATTTTGCTAGGGTGTAAGTGTTCTCCAGCCCTCAAGTCCATTTAGTTGGTGTGGATAGTAATGTCAATGGGTGATTGGCTAAAGCCTGATTCGGGTGCAGTTAGTTTTCCCTGGGGAGGTTAGGTAAATTTGTTTTTCCTCACACTACCTTGGTAAAAATTACAGAGCAAATTACCTACTATCTACCTACCCTGAGAAATCGAATCCCATACAAATAGGAATGTATGTGTTTGAGGTATATTTTTACAGATTTTCTCTATTCTGACCTTCACCGAATACGTAAATTGAGCTAATTTCCTCATTGCACTGCCTGATGCACCTTCATTATTACTTTAGACCTTTTTGCCAATTTTCTGGGTAAAATAACAGTTGGTGGCCCAAGTGCTGTTGGCATCTCATCTGAAAATTAAATTTAAAAAGTAGAATTTCATCAAGGACAATTCAGAACAGTAAAGAAAAAAAAAACAGGGAAAAAAAGTAAAAACTCATTATTCCATGTATTATTTTAAATTATGTCTGAATTTATTATGTCTGTATAGGTCTTTTATTAAGTTTTTAGTTTTATTTAATTTGATTTAATTTAATACTTCAACAAACTAAATGAAAATAAAATAATATATATATTGAATTTATAAACGTGTATGTACATATACAGTATATATGTGTATGTGTGTGTGGTTGTACATACATGTAGTTGTTTTTTTGGTGTTTGGCTTAGTGTTATGTTAGAATTATTATTATACTCTTATACCTTTTGTTCTTTAATATTTTGAATTGTTTTTAGCTTTATTTTTTTGTTTTTCATTTAAATGCTAAGTTTTGAAATTTTGTTGTATGCATTTGCAGTTTGATGATTTTGGCCAGCGAGGTGAACATACTTTCTGGAATGATCTGCAGAACCTGGAAGCATGTTTGCAAGAAACACAGTTAAAGAGATCTGGACCAAAACAAAAGATCCAATCACAAATTAAAACTCTTCTCCAAACCTTTCTGACATAAGCCACCAGCTCCCCAGAGTAAAACTGAGACACGCTCAGCAGATCTGGACTGTTGACCTGATTGATTCATAGGAGAGGCAGAATAAACTTTACAATTAAGTTTATTTTTAAGATATTATATAATATATAATATAATTAAGATATTTTGTAAATTTCCTATCGTAAACATATCAAAACCAAATTTTTGATTAGTAATATTCATTGCCAAGAACTTCATTTGGACAACTTTAAAGGCGATTTTCTCAATATTTTGATTTTTTTGCACCCTCAGATTCCAGATTTTCGGCTTTCGGTTGATGTATAAATCTCAGTTTCAAAAAACTGACCCTTATGACTGGCCTTGTGGTCCAGGGTAACAAATATAAACAGGCCATTCTGACTGACCTTTAGAAAAGTGGCTCTGAGTTTAGTCACCATGAAGGGGTTTGCTCTGATACTCTCTTGCATTATTGATGTGAAGCTGTGAGAAACACATTTGGATTAGGAAGTTCAACCTAAAATTTTGATGAGAAATCAAGAAGAGGCCAATGTATCGCCATCATCACCTGTCAATGATCTGCCAGGCGTAGGACAAATCTCCCACTATCTGCATCGTGATGAGCACTTCCTCTTTGATATTGATGGTGCGGATCATCTGATGGAGGAACTTGCGTGTGTCCGCCAGGAACTGACACACCTGCAGGTTGGACTCCAGCTGGTGAAACTCTTGGACCTTACCAGAGAAACAATTTCATGTGAAATCAGTGCGGAGAGTCACGGGTCACAGCACACGTTCAGATGCGTCTGTACCTCCACGAGAGCCTGAATGAGCTGCACAGTCTTCCTGCCGGCTGCGGTCGAGTCCTCGTAGTTCAGGGACTCGATCTGTTTGGAGATCTCTCTGAACCAGGCCTGAAGATTCTCTGATCAAACAAATGAACACGCTGACAATGATGTCTACCGTTTGGCTCTTGCATGTTGTGGGACCGCAAAAGAATTTTACCGTTTTTCTCCACCCTGGTGAGAGGTTTGACCCCAGAAAACACCTCGGCCAGCTCCATCATTCTCTCCGATCCCTCTTTCTTATAGCTCTCCCACTTCAGCTGCTTCTCTGCCAACATCTGCTTGAACATCTGAGAATCACACAAACCGAGATAAATGAATAACGAGAGGCCAAGTAACAAATTCAAACATTTGTTTTTAAATGGAGTCTCTAATGCTCACCAAGGCTGCATTTATTTGATGAATAAAAATATAGTAAATAGTAATATTGGTAAAAAAAAAAAAAAAAAAACTATAGTATATAAGTGAAATTTATTAAAATCTAAATTTTCAGCATCATTACTCCAGTCATCAGTTACATAATCCTTCAGAAATCATTCTAATATGCTGATTTGCTGCTTAAGAACTATTTCTTATTATTATTAATGTTGAAAACAGTTGTGAGAACGGTTATGCATTAGTAGTATTATTTAAAAGTAATAAAAAATAAAAAACTTACCAAGGTATCAATTTAAGATTGAGAATGATTATTATTTTTTAGATTTACCTCTTTGAGTATGAACTCAAACTGGGCCGTGTCCAGCAGCAGCTGAAACAGAATTTTGGGATTGTATTTGGAGTCGTTGATGACTTGATCCTTGATCTGACGCAGTCTTTTGTTGTTTGGATCATAAGCTTTAACAAAAAATTTAAAAAAAATTACTCAGAAAAGCATTTTGAGGCATTCCTTCCAAATGAATTCAATAATCAAAACTCAAAACATCTAGACCAAGTGTTCCTTAACAAGGGGTCCAGAACCCACTACGGGGCCCCAGCAAACTTCCAAGTGGCCCTCAAGATGACTTAAAACTATTTTAATTCACCCCCTCAACAAATGTCATTTTTATTTAAGAACGAGAATTCCGATAGTCTTCGAAAACAAGAATATTTAAGGAAGCATAATTTTACAAGTGTGATTTCTAGACCTCAGAAATGCATTTAAATGTATAAAAATCGTACAAAGTCTTGGAATTTTTAATAACGAATATACGTTTCTTGTTGTGCCAAGTTCTAAAATTTTTCATCATGAAGAAATTGCTGTTTATGCATAAAAAAAAAAACTACTGAAAAAAACTCATGCATTCAGTTATGGAAATTTTTTATTTTAATTTAAAGGGGTCATATGACGATGCTAAAAATAACATTATTTTGTATATTTGGTGTAATGCAATGTGTTGTGTAAGCAGTTTAAGGTTAAAAAAACACATTATTTTCCACATACCGTACATTATTGTTGCTCCTCTCTACCCCACCTTTCTGAAAAGTGTTCAAAGCTCATTAGTCTGAAAAGCGAGGTGTGCTCTGATTGGCCAGCTATCCAGTGCGTTGTGATTGGCCGAATACCTCAAGTGCGTGACGGAAATATTATGCCCCTTACCATATTTGGAAACACATAGCATGTCCACGACATGGCGGCGGCAGCGGCAACAATACTACAGCAAGAATAAAAGTTACGCCTTCTTTCTTTGTGTAAACATTTAGGCGGTGTTATGCAAAACTTTCAACACAGTGACGTAGTGTTTGAATGAGGCGTTTTAGGAACGAGCAGACAAGTCTTAACTTTTATAAAGAATATTTCTTTGTAGGGCAGCACGATTAATCTTATGCGATTGTCATGCGTATCTTGTCAGTAAAGCCGGTTCCGTGATTAGTAGTAAATCTCCATCACCTGCTTTCAGATGGAGCAGCATTTACTACACAGAGCCGTAGTTCACTGAAAAACTACGCAAAATCGCATTCATAATCGCAGACGATATAATCGTACGATTATGAAATCGAAGAAATCATTCGCAATAATGACAGCTGTTTGCGTAGCTTGTCAGCGAACTACGGCTCTGTGTAGTAAATGCTGCTCCATCTGAAAGCACGTGAAAATACCACATTTAATAACATATTTTTTACTCCAAACTCACTTCATAACGTCAGTCGAGTTGATGTGGCTTCTTAAACAGAATAATTAAGGCACGCAATATTTCATAGTATTCTAAGCAGTGATAAAGGCTGTGTCGATTAGCATTGCATTATTATATACTTTATTATAATAAAAATTATAATAAGACGAACTCAGATAAACCATATATTGCTGTAGTCGCGTGTTTATTAGTCACGGAATCAATGAAAGCAGTTAAATCTTCTGTTTATTCAGCTGCAGAGATAGGCATTTCCTGGATTTCTTCTGCGAGGCGTATTGGAGTTTCAGCACGAGAGCGCCCTCTGGCCTTCGGATGGAGATTTACTACTGATCACAGAACAGTGCTTCACTGAAAGATACGCATGATAATTGCAGCTTCTGCCTAATCGCGATTTATCGCCTTTGCGATTTAATTTCGATTAATTGTGCAGCCCTATCTCTTTGGGTTTGAGACTTTAGTCTTTGCAACTTTATGGATCTTATATATGCACGAACAGCTTATAACACTCCCAAGACAAAAGAAAACTTGAAATCGCGTCATATGACCCCTTTAGGCTTTGTTATTACATCAGAAGTACCAGAAATATCTGGTCTATTGTCTTTGAAAACTATTGTCAAAAAGGTTGAGAACTGCTGATTTCAACCTTTACGGGCTCATGACATCTCACCGGACTCTGCAGTGTGCAGCATCAGCCAGCGGATGGCAACGTTACAGTCACGGAGGCAGTTGAGCAGTTTGGGAATGTTGTCCAGGACGATTTCTTCTCTCAGGAATCCCTCCTTCAATAACTGCTGCACCTGCGGCCGCAAGCTCTCCACACTGGCAGCGTATCGACCGGACTGAGAGGAGAAAACAATGACTAAGTGTGAGTCCAGAGTGACTGGTTTAGATCGAACGAATGTGAACAGGAACAGCTCAGGTGACAGTACCTGCTCTTTGATGTTGGCTGTGTCCAATGTGTAGTTCAGCGCTGTTTTAGCAGCTTTATATGGTTCCCACGCCTCCACCAAATTCACCGTGATCCCCATATATATGCTTATAACCTGACGATTTAAGGTTGATATTGCAATAAAAACGTATACATCACATTTTGGGAATTGACACGATTAATACATTCTTCTCACCCAGTTGTCAGGGAAGTATTTGTCCACGATCTCTCTCATCTTGGCCTGTTGTGTGTGCAGGATGGAGGGGGTGAAGTATAAGCAGACACACAGCATAGCGGCCTGTGTTGCCAGTGCTGTACTGCGGTGCTCCGGCAGAGGATACGCAGAAACCTGCAGCACAACAGATGAAACATTTACATAACATGAAGCATGATTAGACAGGAGTTATGTCTAAATGAGGGGTTTTCAAAAGTTTGATGCCACGGACCCCTGAATAGGTGAAGAACCTTTTTCCTAAAAATAAACGCAAGACAACATTTTCATTTATTAAAATCTAGAAAAATATAATATTTACAAAGTATATATATTTTTTCAGTTTCTTCTTGTTATATTTAATGTCAATAGAACAACATAATTTGTCATTAGCAACTTACTTTATTATTATTTTTATATGCTGTTTTACAATTTTTTTGTCTTCTTTTACATTTTTTTTAAATAGAATACAATAATGTCATTATTAAACTTATATATCTGTATCTATGCATATATATATATATATATATATATATATATATGTGTGTGTGTGTGTGTGTGTGTGTGTGTGTGTTTACACTATTTTTCTTTATTTTTTTTACTTTTTACTTTTCAAACTTTTAACTTTAAGTTTCTTTTTTTTTTGCAGAATTAAATAATTTGTCAATATCAAACATTATTATTATTATTATTATTATCATTGAAGTTTTTACACATTTTTATTTGAACTTTTCTGGTTAGTTTTTTACGCATTTTATCTGTCTAAAGAATAAAATAATTTGTCATTATCAAACTTATGTTATTATTAATTTTTTATATATGTATATGTTTTAAAGTATTTTCTCTGAACCTTCCCAATTATTTTATCTGTCAATAGAATAAAATATTTTGCCATTACCAAACTTATTTTATTATTGTTTTTTTTTTTTCTGAACCTTTCTGATTATTTTATGATTTCACTTTATCTGTCAATAGAATAAAATAATTTAGCATTATCAAAGTAATTTTACTATTAATATTAATTTTTATGTGTTTTAAACCTATTTTTCTCTGAAATTCTCTGAGGACCCCCAGTTTGAAAACCCCTGACCTAAATCACACCACTGTCTTGCCTGGTTATAAATGTCATCAGAGCGGAGGCGGCCGATCACCATACTGATGAAGGTGGGGCTGATGGGAACTCTCTGGAAGTAGCTCTCAGGGTAGTTGGGTGGCCGTTTGGCCCCCGGGTGGCTGGAGTATCCCGTACTACGCAGGAGCTTGCAGATGTCGTCCAGGTTTGAGTCAGCCGAGGAGCGAGCAGCACTGAGGAGATGAGAAATATTGTTTATTCAGTAGCACATTGACGTGTTTGTCCATTTGTTGAGATGTTTCACCTCAACTGAGCTGCTTGTGAGCTGTCGAAGCCAACAAATCACCTCCAAAAAATACAAAGGTATAAGGTAAAATACAGTCTTACCTGTATCTATAGTAGGACACCAGCATCCTTTCTCTCACCTCCCCCTCCATCTTCTGATCAATGACCAGTAACATGACTCCATACAGGTACAGAGCCTCACACTGACAGAAATCACATGCATTTATAAACTCATTTACCCTGTTTAACTCCTATTTGTATTTAGGGAAGCAGAAATCAGACTTTACCAGGAGCTGTTTCCCATCTTCATTCAATAAAACAGTTTCTAGTGTTTGCTGAATGTAGACCCCTTCATTGAGATCATCCAAGTACCTTCAGAGGAAACAATTCATTGTTTTTAAATGAATAAATAATTTAAGATTTGATTTAGGGAGAAAAATTACATCGGATCTTTGCGGCAAAGCATAACAGAGGAACATCATGTCAAATAAATACATTTAAATATATTGCAATACTAATAGAGCTGCCATTAGAAGATGATCTGAATTTTCCCCTCATTTCAATAAAAATTATTTAGTCAAAATGTTCAGATATGTTATGCATTTGAAAACAACACACACCTTATCAAGTCTACAACATATTTATGGACACTCTCAAAGGCCAGGTAGAACCGTGTTAATATTTCAATGTTATTTTCCCGAAACTCCTCATCCAAATCCTGCAGCTCTGGCTTTGCTTCCAGTTTACTCTCATAATACTCCGGACCCTAGAAAACACAGATTCATTTCAAAATCATTTGCTTACTGTAAATCTATCTGATCCTCTTAGAAAACCCAGATCAAGTTAATTTAAGAAGACATAATTAAAGATGACAATTAGGGTACCTTAAAATAGCTGAAATCACAGATTATGTCTCCATATTTCTGCTGGTCGCTCTTGTCTTTGAGTCTGAAAACTGCAGGAATAAATTCTGAGAGTCTGAGTAATTCTGCTATGATGGCATTTCCTCTGGACACAATCCTCAGGATGGCCTGACCACACAGGTTGTTCTCTGCCAGAAAGTCCACCATGATGAGGAAGAAAACAGCAGTCTCCTCAGCGACGGCCAGATCTGATGATATTCAATAATACAAAAAACATTACTTCTGCATACCACCCACGTAATTGACTGCTATCATTACAAATGCACATACAGTCATTACTCTGACCTCAAATTATTTGTTTTCATAATATACTTCAATAAAAACCTTTTGCTCAAAATTGATCAAACAGCGCTCAAACGGTCTGAATGCACCAGATACGGTTCACTATGAATGAAGCGGTGCACTATAATAGCCAAAACCACATATAAAATAAGTTTACATGATTATATTTTGTTTGTTGAATTTAGATTCTAGTCACTCACCCTCTGCAGTACAGATCAGACACTTCCTGTTTACAAATCACGTGAGTGTCACGAGACGCACTCATTGGTCGCTCCGCCCAGTGCTTAGGCTAAATGGCTACGTACTGTTCAACTGCTTCAAAATAAAAGATTCACAGTTGGCGTTTTAATATTAAGATGTCTATTCGAGTGATTCTTCGGGATCTAAGAGTTGTTTTATTATATGCCATTACCAAAGCATTGGTATTTACGTATATTAATTCAGAAACATAACCTTTTTACTTTTATCAATTTAAAGTGACTGCTAACGTGTTAACTTCCAAAAATGTAATTATCATCACATTACATATAGCCTATAGACCAATTTAGAGTAGACCTCACAGTTACGTCACTTGCAGCTGCGCGCGCATAGTGGTTGCAGAAAAACACTGGGAACAAGTGGAGGTAAATGGGTAAAATCCATGGAATAAAAGAAAAAAATAATGTTTGTGCCTTTTGATGTCAAGATCGGAATGCAAATAATTTTTATAGAATACTGTCGTCATTTGAAGCTAAACGCAGCGTTTAAATGGACATACTATGGATGAAAACTGCTATGATTACTCTACTTTTAAAGCATAAATTCGATTTAAACAATAGGTCTAACGTTACATAATATTCACATATGCTGTTCATAGGGGACGTATTGTATTAGCCCTACAGTTACAGCATGAAATATTATTTAAACCTTACTATTAACATTTTTACATAACATTTATTTAAATAATGATAGCACAAATAAAAATTAACGACAGGCCTTCGAATTAAATAAATTGCTTTTTAGTTTTTCAGGTAGGTCTAACAGTAGGGTTAAGATATTTAACTTTTTTTTTTTTTTCCCCAATTATCCAAATAATGTTTAGTCCTAGAACGCTATTATTATCAGAGGACACCTGAGCATAACATAGCGGTTAGCAGATCAATGAACGAGAGGGCAGCGTTACCAGAGTTGCCCATATACCACACCATGTTACAACACAGTAGGGCTATTGCAGACAGAAACAATACTGTACGACATCGATGTTTCCTGTCGGCTCAATTTTTGAGTGGACTTTGCTGTTCCGATGAGCATGAATGATATATGAGTGGAGCTGAGCGAAGCGCACACGCATAGAGCGGGATAATACGCAGAACGTCACACCACGTGAATCCTGAGCGGTGAACTCATTTTCCGCAGCCGAAATTTCGGTGCATCTCTGATTATTGGCGACATCAGAAATGGATATTATATAATAGATGCTTCTTTGAACATTTTAGCAATTTAAAAATATTACAAAATTATTTTTTACACGGCACCCCTGCTCTCGACAGATGCCGCGGCACCCCGGTTGGGAAACACTGGCCTAGTATTCTGTGATACAGTGTTATAATTTACTATATAAAATGTAATGATATACTAAAATGTTTCATGCCATAGTGCCAGTATGATATTTTATAATCTTGTCTCAGTTATTACTAATGAGATTTGAGATTGAAAAGAAGAATGTGATGCCATTAGGACACTTATTGAAAAGACCAACTTTGAGGAGAAAAAGAACAGCATAAGGCATTTATTTATTTCATCCAAATTTATTGTGTTGTCCACAAACAAGTAGAAAATATATATATTTAGTCTAAATCAAGCAAAAGCCTATTAAAACAGTTCAATTAAATAAAAAGCATTGCACAAGGCCTATGGCTCTGGGAAATAAAGCTTTTGCCACCACAGCGGCATCTACAGATTTTAAGGCTTGTCACGAGTTTCACATCATGATCCATGATGGTTCCAGATCTGTATTACTATTATTGGTGCATGTAAAAATCTGTTTTTCAGAGCCTAGAAACAGTCTAATCTGAATCTGACCATTTTTGAAACACTATTAGTGACAGCTGAAGACAGCACAACATTTAACTGTGGTTTGATTCTAAACTAAAATGCGTTCAAAGCAAGATCCCAGTAAGGCTCTCAAACTCTAAAAACATGTAAGGATCAGTTGTTAACAGTGGAGAGGACACATTTTGCTAAGTTTAAATGTGCTATTTTGTTCAAACAGTACTTACCATGTTCACAGAGGCACCTTTGACCTCTTGCCTATAATACACTACAGTATTCACAGGAAAATGCAGAGGGCTGCAAGCAAGTCAAATGAATTTTCACCAGAAAGAAAGAAATCCAGAACATAAAAACAAAAATACAACACGGAGCTCTTAAAAATCAGTAAAATATCGGTCTTAAATCACACAAGAATTATTTGAATGATCGCCATACACGCAGACCCACTCGTGTAGAGGTGAAATTTAACATCACTATAAATACAAACTTATAAAAGGATTTAAACTACTGGTTGAGCATAAAGCTATGTACAAACCGAACACTTTTTTTCCTCCATCAGATGCATGCTGATATAATGAAGATGGTGAATGTCTTACACAGGGGCGATTTTAAAAGTACCAGTCATAGTGCTGTTTTCATGCACAAATATTATAAAAAGACAACCTCAAATTACACCCACACTGTAATTATTCATCAATAGTTCATGTTTCATTTAGTCCTATAAAACCAAGATATTAATGGAAACCAGAAACACATTCCTCAAAAGAGAAAGAAATTCTGCAGCAGTCATAGAGATGGAAAACATAACACTTCATGATTACGGCAAATACGCATTATGTTTTCTTAACATGATCCGTTAAAAGGTGTCAAGCAAATGAAAGTCCCCTTTATGAACTGTGTAGAAGAGAAATCTGAGGGAGATCTTACCAGTTGAAAAACGGCAAAATAGTCACATCAGCTGTTTATTACAACCATTTCCACAAAATAACTTTCCCCACAAGATGAGTATTAGCTGTTATTGTTTGAAGATGACCCCCATAATGGCAGTTAGCAGAACTACAGGAACACCTACAACTTCCTGTTGGGATGTACTATGCTGTATATCAGATATCCATGGTCAGTATGTAGACGATAAAACACTTTAGTGTCACTGAATTTGGAAATTCGATTTGAAATGTTTGGTCTCGCCCTACACAAATAAGGTGGCTGGTTGCATTTTTTAAGTTCCGTACATCAGGGTGGTTGACAAAGTGCCTCATGTGTCTAATTGACACAATGTATTCATGCATATTCCCTTAATTAGCTATTGTGTCCATTATTAAGGGAACCATACGATTCAAAACTATACCTTTGGCACTAAGTGTTCTCCATTTGACTCCAAATGAAAAAAAGCCCATTTAAAAGACTCTATAGAGGTCTAGGATGTCTTTGCATTTACAAGGGTTAAGGTGCATGATCAATTCTGGTAGACATAAGTTTAAATTGTATGCATGACATTATTATTATTATTCAAGGGATCTTGAGTTGTCGCTGCACTTCAGAGCCTCAGAGGGGAAAAAAACAACCGTTAAAGGGATAGTTTACCCAAAAATGAAAATTCTGTCAATTACTCACCCTCGTGTTGTTCGAAACCCGTAAGATCTTCGTTCATCTTCGGAACACAATTTAAGATATTTTTGATGAAATATGAGGGCTCTCTGACCCTCCCATAGACAGCAAGGTAACTACCACGTTCAAGGTCCAGAAAAGTACCAAGATGATCGACAAAGTAGTCCGTGTGACATCAGTGGTTCAACTGTAAAGTTACGAAGCTACGAGAATACTTTTTTGCACAAAGAAAACAAAAATAACTACTTTATTCCACATTTTCGTCTATACTGCGTCACTTGTGGACACGCGTTCACGTCAGTATCATGACGTGAGCGTGTGGCTTATTTTTGTTTTCTTTGCGCAAAAAAGTATTCTCGTAGCTTCGTAACTTTACAGTTGAACCACTGATGTCACACGGACTACTTTGTCGATCATCTTGGTACTTTTCTGGACCTTGAACGTGGTAGTTACCTTGCTGTCTATGGGAGGGTCAGAGAGCCCTCAGATTTCATCAAAAATATCTTAAATTTTGTTCCGAAGATGAACGAAGGTCTTACGGATTTCGAACAACACGAGGGTGAGTAATTAATGACAGAATTGTCATTTTTGGGTGAACTATCCCTTTAATGTGCATGATCTCTCAAGGTTTGAATGTAGTCAAACATTCTGACCAAAAACAGTTCTCCTCAATGTTTTGCTAAAAAGATCTTGTCAAACCTTACGTGAAACTACGTAAAATATAAGCAGAATTGGTGCAGTGGTAGAGGGCATGTGGTCGAGACCCAACATTTTTCACCAAGGGTCATTGCTCAGAATAAAGCCAATTCAGAAAAATCACTGACCCTCAGACACGGACAATGTTTTTCGAACGCTCTGTGGAGGCTCCCAGGCATCGCTGTCATCAGTGTCATCATCATCTTCATCACCCAAAGCAGGTCCTTGCTCCTCAACCGCCATCTCATTTTCACCCTGTGACTCGTCCTCCTCCTCATCTTGTTCTTCATTTCCCGTTTTATCTTCAAACGGGTTGGTACCCATTTCCTCCTTCCGATGAATCTCCGCAAACCACTCTCTCACCTGCTCATAGCTCATGTTAGACTTGGCGACAAGCTCATCCAAGTCCTGTTCATTCAGAAACTTGTGCTTCAAGTAGTACTCCTTCAGAATATCCCGTCCAGACTTGAACCTGATTGGTAAATTCTTCTCCGATTCTGTGTGCTTCTTCGCTTTTCTACTACGGGTTCTTCCCCAACCGCGATTTCGAATCCTCCGTTTTCTGTTTTTGTTGCCATTCGTTCCTCCTGTGTTTCCACTTTGATAATAAAAATACCACTTCAAGTTGCCGTTCTTCCAGGCATAGCGTGTATCGCCAAACCAGTTGACAATGTAGGAACGAGGCAGTCCACTCTCCTCAGCCAGCTGGTCGTATTCTTCCGTCGAGGGCCACTGGGTGCGAACGAACGCATTCTTCAGAACATGAAGCTGCTCGGGTGTTTTCTTAGTAACCTTCTCTTTGCTCAGCCTCTTTCCTCCAGGTGGAGTTTGGCTCCCCTTCTTTTGGGATGTTTCACCATCTGCTTTCGACTCTGAGGAATCAGGCACAGGGGTTTTTCTTTTTTCGGTGAACCAGGCGTCGATCTCACGTCTGGTAAGTTTGG